ATGTTAGAATTAATACAGCTATTAGTTAAAATAAATATAAGAGAAAACATTATTTTAATTATTAATAATTACTCATTTTTATAGATATTATAAATACATATATTATAAAAAAATACATAGGGTATATAATTGACAATTAAAAATACCGTAATAAGTGACAATAAGACCGATAAAAATAAATCAAATAACTAGACAAAGAACCATTTTCGGTATCTAAGCTGGATAACTTTCTAGACTAATAATATTTAATAAAAAAAATATCGTACAATAGAAAAAAATATTTAATATATAATGCATGCTTACTACTTCGGCGTTTTTTTTCTGATGTTCCTGACGATGGTATATTTTTATTAGTTTCAAAATCATTGGTATGAAAAGATTCGGAAGAGCCAACTGAGCCTTCTTCATCATCATTGTCATTCTCGTCAGTATTAAAAATAGCTACGTTTAGAAGTCGAGAGAATTTTGGAATGTCTAATTCAGGAATTGACTGTCGATAATGTGATTTATGTATACTCTTATCATGCCCCATAAAGTTTGCCAACTCTGTGACTTCCGACTCTGAAAGATTAAGTGTGATGCACTTTGTGGCAATATGTTTTCGCAATTTGGTGCCTCGTAAGGTCAAAGGTTTTGCTGCTCCACATTTTGAAGAATAGTCTCGCATAAGCGCACACGCTCTCAAATGCTTATATCGATGTTTGTCGTATCCAGGAATTCCAAAAAGATAAGGGTTTCGTGATTCTACTTTTGCATCCAATCTGTATTGCAATAATAATTCGATGCAATCTTGTAATTGCGAATGTAATAACACTGGCACATTACGACCTAGTTTACCTCTAATATCAAATGTGACATATTTTTTAATAGCCTAATGCAGAAAAGAGGGAAATTAAATAGAAAATGAATTATTAAAGTATACATTTGACAAGTGTTTTCATTTTTGCATTAAAATTAATAATGTAAAATAATTTAAAGAAAGGAAAACGTGAATCATTAGATGCAAAATATGTTTAAAAACAAAGAATGGGTTAATTAACATTTAATAGAGAAATAACAATAATATTACCTCTTTTCCAGCCTTTGATAATGAATGATACACTTCTGGGTCTGTATGCTCTCCAACACTTTTATAACATTTGTAATCTTCTATTACAACTTTTTCTATTTCACCTGCTCTTTTTCTGTTAAAAACTTGCAAAGAAGTAAGCGTTACTTTTAATAAATTTAACCACGTATTGTAGTTGTAAGTTTTAATAAGATCATTATACAATATATTTCTTGTGTCTGTCAAATAATTATATAATTTCTGTATGTCCTCCATACTTGGTAATTCAACTTTTTCATGCCTTTTATTTTGTGTTATGGTTTCCTCTGCTGTTTTATTTATTGTTGTTCCATAATCTTCTACCAAAAGTTTCAAGAAATTTTGTACATTCCTTAAACTCTCATTATCATCTCTTTTAATATATTCAGTCTCTAATAAATCTCCTAATTTTTTTAAAAGAGTACCAAGTCGTGTAGCGACAGACGGCGTTTTAAATGTGTTACTATCTGGATCAAATTGTGCTACATCTTTAGTAGCTAAAATGCATGAGTCATAATGGCGTGGTTGATAGATTGAGGCAAAATCAGTGATACTTTGATTAAACTTTTTAATAGAAATCAGGAAACGACCTAAAAGCCTTAATTCCGCTCTTATCATGTCATGATGACGCTGGTTCCTAAATTTTCTACATAATTTATTTGCGTGAAGTATCACTAATTCATCATATCTGATTACTCTAGACACATCGTCCTCTCTTAAAATTGGAAAGATTACTTTTCTAAGCACATCACTGGCTTTACTGTGTATCCGTGCTTGTACTTTTCTACCAAGCATTAGAACCTTCTTGCCAATGCTTCTTTGGTTACAAATTTGAAAGTGATGCCTTACGTTATTTTTTGTAAAATAACCCTTACACTTTGGACAACAGGTAAAATCTGTCGCAGGTTTGTTAGCTTTTGAAGGTCTACGAGATACTATTAGATCTCCTGTATTAAACTGGGAGCTGGTATTATAAATAAAGTTACTTTCTTTTCTAATACTATCTATAATAGCCTTTCTTTCTAAATTACCTGAAAAATTATAATCAACATTTTTAAAGTAATAAAAGTATGTGTAACATTTTTTTATTTAAAATAATATGTATATAGATTATTATATTTACCTTTAGGAAGCAAAATAAACTTTTTTACTTCTTTCTCATTTTTATGGACAGTTTCCAAGTGTCTTGCGAATTTGGTTTGTAATTTTTTGCAGTACATGCAAAAGTATTTTTTATTTGCTCCTTTTTTTTCAGATTTTGATACAATAAGATTTGTGTCATCACAAGTGGCTTTTCCTTCATAAGTATGCTTTGAGGTATCAAGGCTGCTTTTTGAAGTATTAGATTTTTCATGCGTTATAAAGCTTCGAGAAACAATAGAAGCATTTGATTCATTATCTGAATCATCTGAATTACTGGAAACAACATAGTCTGGATCATTATAATCTTCACTGTTCTCATGAACACCTTCTGAAATCAAAGCATATAATAATTTATAAAATAATAGGGGTATT